GGGGGGGGGGGGGTGGGGATTGTCCAAAAGCCATCCTGCGCTGTGCCCAGTCTGTGGCTCTTGGGCTGCACAGTGGCTCTGCCGACCAAGCTTGCTAACAACCGCTGGACTTTGCTGTTTGTTGCCGTCTGAAACCAGCTGCTCCAGTTTTGATGGAGGATCAGTCACGATGGAGCCAGAATAATACTTTGGTGTTTCCATTCTTTCAAGCACTAATTGCAGTGTCCCGCCTGATACCTGCATGCTTCTGTGGTGTGCTGGTGCTAGTGGTTGCTGCACCTTGGCAGTCTGGGGGGGACTGGAAATACCCTCATCCCTAGAAGTTTGCTGCCCTAATAAGCAGACAGCTCACACTGACCTGATAAATAATCTGATCCCCAGAATAAAATGTCCTGCAGCGAAGAAGAAAATGATGTGGTGCTTTCTGGCCCAGTCAGAGCTGTTGCCGTGTGACACAGGTCCTGTCCTGGTGTTTGGTGACAAACCCTGGGACACCTCCTGTGAGGTGACTTCCCATGGCTGTGCACAAAGGGGCTTTGCAGGTTTTGGGTTGTGTGTGACCACACCAGAGCCTTCCTTTCAGTGCTGCCATCCGCCCTTTCGCAGGTCTTGGGGGCATTACAACTGCTTTTTTTGAGACTGCACTCGCTGAGGTTTTGTTTTATCTGCAGGATGGGAGGAATCCCAGCAGTGAACGGCAAAGGAGAGCGTCTCCTCCTGCATGTAGGAATAATAGATATCCTTCAATCCTACAGGTAGGTAACTTCGCAGTCATCTGTCCTCTAAGTGCGTTAACATCTATTTTAAGACTGAATGCAAGCAGGAAGATTTTCCTGTCCTGAAGAGTTTGATAATGAGTAGGCAGGCTGCCTAAAGCCAGCTGTTGATGTGTGTCGGGGCCTGTGGATTTTCATCGTGTCCTTAGAACAGCTGGTGACACGGAGCCATTTTTCTAATGAGTTACTCATAAAGACGTTTCCTGTCTCTGTGCCTGGGATGGGTGGCATGTCTGCAGGGATGGAAGGTGGTTTTTCTGCCCCTCTTCCAGCCCATCTCCTCCTTCCCTGTTCCCAGGCAGTCGTGACCTGACTGCAGAGACGCCGGTGTGCTGAGCCGACCTCTCTTGGCTGGAGGAAAGCTGCACTCCGGATGAAGGGGGAATCATTTGCAGCTCAGCGATCTCTCCTGTTGGAGTGTGAAAGGTGGTTTAGATATAGAGTGCGTTCCTGAATCTGTCTCTTTCTTTTTCTCTCCACTTCTCCCCTGGCATTAGGTTCATCAAGAAGCTGGAACATACCTGGAAGGCCCTTGTCCATGATGGGGTGAGTGCCTGCAGAGGCCTCAGCAGGATTACCTGCCTTGGCTTTGTTCGTGCTCGTTGCTGCCGATTACCTTGCTATTTATAGTGCCTGAACTGGCACAGTTGAAGCTGATTAAAGGAACAGTTCTTGCCTCTTATGCCTCCACAGCGGTGTAGTGCCACTTATTCCCAATTAGGTTTTCCTGCTCACTCCATCTCCTCCCATGTTGAGCTGTCGTGCTACCAGCTTTCCTCCTCTGCTCCCATCTGTCATTTTCTTCCTCCCCACGATACCATGAGCTGTATGCACAAGGCGCATGCATTCATGTACGTGTCGAGGAGCCCTGCGTTTGCTCTCTTTGGTGACTGGCTGTGTTTCCGCTTCAGTAAGCTATCTGTTAATAAATCTCTTTGAGCGTTTCCCTTCTGTCTTGTCTCCTGCAGCAGCCAGGTGCATATTTACAAAAGAGCAACCTTGGATGTGCGGCTATTTTTCAGCATTGCATATCCTAGCTTCCCTGAAATAAAAAGGCAATGTGTAGATGCCAAGTCATAGTCAAACATCAGAAGCTGCGACAGCCTCAGTTTTACTATTTTAAACAAAAAGTGCAAAACGTTTGAAATGTCTGGAGACCCTTGACTGAATTGTGGTGTCCATGTCATATGCAAAGGTACCCAGGTGTGCTCTGAATGTCAGACAGCAAAGCCAGAAGAAATTTCATGTATGTAATCAGGCCAATATCTGAAAAATCCAGCAAGTCTGCAAATGAATAAAATCACCAAAATCCATTATAAAATTACAGCGAGAATATAATCAAGTGCAATCAAATCAAAGGCAATGCTTCAGGCTTATTTATAGCATTAATCAGATCGTTTCAGTTAAGCCTTTCCATTTTAAAGCTCTCTCAGTGCTAAACGTTGGAATAAAAGTGACTGCATTGGTTGTTATAGAAATTCTGCCCTTGAGGGATAATTTTAAAATTAAACAATTGCTTCTTGCTTTTGTAGGACACGGTGTCAGTACACAGACCCAGCTTTTATGCAGAGAGATTCTTCAAATTCATGACCAACACAGTGTTTCGAAAGAATTCCTGTAAGTACCTAGAGCAGGAGCTGCTGCCCTTGTGATGTGGGCGAGGCAGAGCCTTATCTCCCTCTTGCTGCCTCAATCCACACGGAGGGTTTCGGGGCTGGAGCCCGAGCAGGCTTTTCCACTGTGATACAGAGCAAAGCGGGAGAACCGCAGAGCCCTCAGGTTGACGTGGCTGGCTGTGGTCTGCTCAGACTCCCACCCAGGAGCTGCCCTCTGGAGGTGGCAATTGCAGGGCACGTGTGTGCGTGTCTGAGGGCAGAGGCCGCTCCCTGGAAGGCAGAAGTGCCTTTGGTGTGACAGTTGGTGGTCATTTCATCTTCTTTCACTCTTCTCCCCCAGCTCTGAAGTCGTCCCCCTCAAAGAAAGGGCGCAGTGCCTTGCTAGCTGTCAAGACGGCTGGTCCCACGGCTGCTTTCTCAGCTAGCCAGCTTCCCTCTGAAAAGGACGAAACGCAGTATGATCTTCGTGCGGCCAGGAGTTACCCCACCCTTGACGATGAAGGTAATGGTCTCGTTTGATAGCTGTGTGATGACCCTCTTTTTTTCTAGCAGTTCCTCAGGATCCTCCCCTGTTCTCGTTGAGTTCCCCACTGTGCACCAACCACCTCTCTTCCTGGGTGGGCAGCTCTTCACTGCATGTCTTGCTGTGCTTTGCAGGTGCTAAACTTAACCAGGACAGGGGGGAAGGTAAGAGTGTATTGTGTTGTCCCAGCAGTAGCAGTTAGTTGATTGGGGAAGCAATGCCTCTGCATGGAAGAAGACTGAATCCCGTCTTTGCAGCACTGTATGGCTCTGCGGTAAAATGGTTGTTTGCATGTTGTCCCAGCAGTAGCAGTTAGTTGATTGGGGAAGCAACGCCTCTGTATGGAAGAAGACCGAATCCCGTCTTTGCAGCACTGTATGGTTCTGTGGTAAAATGGTTGTTTGCGTTGCTGCCGCGAGGCAGCCGCTGCCAACTGGCACCAGCAGTCATAGCCAGAAGTGATCAGAAAGTTAAGTTTTCCACCCTAAAAAAAAAAAAAAAAACAGTAGCAGTTAGTTGATTGGGGAAGCAACGCCTCTGTATGGAAGAAGACCGAATCCCGTCTTTGCAGCACTGTATGGTTCTGTGGTAAAATGGTTGTTTGCGTTGCTGCCGCGAGGCAGCCGCTGCCAACTGGCACCAGCAGTCATAGCCAGAAGTGATCAGAAAGTTAAGTTTTCCACCCTAAAAAAAAAAAAAAAAAGTGGTGTGGGAGGAGACACTTGGAACGGCAGGACTGTAATGTTTGGACAGTTATAAAGGGCAAGATCTTACCATTGAAAAAAAGAGAAATGGCCTGGTTCTGTGCTGCCTTTGCATCTCCTCTGTCTGGGCTGGGTTTACAGCTGAGTGGTGAGGGACAGTCCCTCGAGCGCACAGGTGTTAGATTTCTACTCGTGCAAAGCACTGAACATTCAATTCATCTCTTAATTCACTTGGATATTTATCTCTGGTGATCCAAGCCTTTAATCCAGCTTTGGTTACTACTGAGATGTCTTCATGGGCATTATACATTTCCCGTAGCGTCTGTCTGCCGTGCTGGGAATGGTGCTTACTGGCCCTCTCTGGAGGATTCCTTGGGAGAAGCTGTGGCATTCGTGAACCCAGATAAACTTCTTGCCTGTTGGTGGTTTGAAGTGACCAGTCCCAGTGCGGGTTGATGGTAGAACAGCCTCACCTAGGGCTGTAGGGAAGGTGTTGGTGTTTGACCCACTCGTGTTTTTCTTCCTGCATCTCTCCTGCCCTCCCCTCTGGGCCAGCAGGCAGGCCAGACCTGCTACCCTGCACACCTCCTTCCTTTGAAGAAGCTACCACGGCCTCCATTGCCACGACGCTATCTTCAACATCTCTCTCTGTTCCCGAGCGATCCCCTTCGGAGACCTCTGAGCAGCCCAGGTACAGGTGAGGACAGCACTCGTCCCCTGCTCCCCCTGGAGTCGAGCGGCTGCCGTTCCTCTTCGTGGTGCAGATCTTGGCAGGCTGCTCTATGCTCTGGAATGCTAATGACCGATTTTAATTAAATCTCTCCTGGGAGCAAGCAGACACAGCTTTGATGGGATTAATTATTGCTGGGAGAAGTGTCAGCTGTTAAGTAGAACATCTCCTTCATGGCGTGGGGAGTTAGATTTGGGGGCAGTGTAGGATTTCTGTCTTAAATTCCTCCTCTAACTCTACTATTCTGGTTTCTCTCCGCAGGAGGCGCACACACTCCTCGGGGCAGGATGGCAGGTGAGAAAAGTGTCTCATCTCTTGTGCTGCTGCACTGAGACCTCACGTTTGGCCTTGTGCAACGGTCTCATGGACGGCTGAATGTGAATCTCAGCAGCCACAAGATTTTGGCGTGGTCCTCTGCAGGACGATGGGCTTCTTCTTGTAATCAAATGATCCCCATTTCTTACACTGAATTTTCCCCACAAGCAGATCTCTCGATGCTTTGCAGGGAATCTTAAATATTTCGTTTGTTATTTGATGAGAAAGGGGACAACAGAGTTGTCCAAATTGACCCACCCAACCAGCACCAGAATCACGGAAGGTTGTTTATGTCCCCCTGTGGGGAAGTGAGCCCTAACAGCAGGAACGTCCTCCCCTGTGCATATGCCTGCCGCCTGGTGCAGTGGGTGTGAATATGGGAAAGGGCTTTGACTTTGTGAGACACTGAGCACCCTTAGTCCCTAGAGAAGTAGCTTCCAGTGTTTTCAGAAACTCGGGTACTTTGCGGGGTTTTTTTCACTCCTGTTGTGGCTTATAGCCAAGGGCAAGGAAGGACAAAAATCCCCTACTGCATAGGGACGTCAGGATTTAGAGGCTCATATCATATAATTCTCTTGCATATTTTTGCACCAGTAAAGATGACCCTGTTGCCTATGCCAGCAGGATCTGCATGAGGACCCTGCGTTTGCTGCTGACTTTGTCCTGACTTTCCAGGACATCTTGAAAGTGTTGTAGGCACAGACATTGAAATGCACGTCAGAGACTCTGTCTCTGCTGTAGCCAGAGGAGCTGCTGGACAGGCTGACATCCTCTCTCCCTGCAGTTGGTGTTTAGTGCTTCAGAGGAAGGCAAGGACTTTGGAAGATGAGGGTTTGCACCATCTTACAGACATCTCCCCTCATTCCTAGCTTTAGTGATTTGCTGAGCTTCAGACAACATACACCATAAAAAAACCTCTTTCCATGGTATTTCTTAATGAAAATACCTGTGGATGCTGCATGTCACTGAGTCTTGGCAAATTCGTGTCACTGGAGGGCGAGGACCTACTTGCTGTTGATTTGCAGCACCTGTTGAAATGTCAGGGACTGGCAGAGCACCTCACCACCTGCAGAATGTGTTGTCTGAAATTGCTGAGAATTGGAGGCTTGAACTCGGGCAGCAGTGGTGGGACCTGTTTGGCAAAACGCGGTGACTTCACCCACCTTACCCTGGACTCCTCTGGCACCCAACGGAGGGAGTTGCTGTAGGATGTGACTGCTCATCCAGAAATAGGTTGTGTGAGTCGTGTCCTAGAAGGGACTGTCCCTGGGCCATACAGGGAGCTTAGCGACTTGGTCAAGAGTAGATCTGTCTGTCAGAGACTTGCCACAGCTACAGCCGCCCCACACAAGTGTGGTCTTTGCTGTTTTTTGCCTTGTTTCTCCATTTCTGGTGCCGGTGTCCAGCATGCCCTTTGCGGGGAGCAGGAAGCTGTGTGTTTGTAGAGCTCTCTGTGATCCCCTGGTGAAAGCCAGTGCAAGAACAACCTTATTAAAGCACGAATATACATTCCTGAGCTGAAATGAAAAAGACCTTACCCAATTTGCTCAAGAATGTGTCACACTTCTGATTATTCTAATCAGCTGGGGAATTCCCTCCGGGTTTCTGAGATCCACCCCTGCAAGGAGGAGAGGAGCCGGTTCCAGCAGCGAGCTGGACAGCAGTGCCGCCTGCCGGCTCCCCGCCCGTGCCGGCTCCGGCTCTGGCTCCCAGCCGGGGACAGCGCGGAGCAGGACATCACTGCCAGTGACCCGGAGCTCGTCCCTTCCCTGAGGCTGTGCCCTCGGCTTGGCAGGTGCCTGCTCCTCCTTCCCACAAGGACTATGGAGCCAGCCCCACTCGCACAAGCAATTACTTTAATAGCATGAGGTATTAAATTGAAGACTGTCACAAACAGCTCCTAAGCGTGCAGATAAATCTCATGTTAACCCTGGAGCGCCTGAGCGGCTTTGGTGCGCTGGGAGTCTCGGAAGAGGTTGGAGGCTTTGGCCCTTTGCCCCTTGTGCAGCTGATGGATAATGCCAGGCTAGCTCTGGACAGAGGTTTTCCCTGGAGGCCAATTCTCCTCTTTCCTCCTGGACTCCATGGGACACTGCCCATCTTTTCTGCAGCACTGGCTGATTGATCGCTTTCCTCTTGTCCTCTTTTCCCACCTTGTTAGTCTTGAGCATTGCAGCCTGGCAGGACTGACTCTCTTGCCTGGGAGTTTTGGTTTTCCAAATGCTCGGTCTTGGGAGGTCTGATGGCTCCCTCTGAGCCGAAACCAAGAGCTCGGGCTGTGCTGGGAGGTCGGTGCTGCCAGTGTCAGGGCAGACCAGCACAGATCGGCCAGGCTGACCCAGGACTGACTCAGGCTGACCTAAAATTGCCGACTGTGTCTGACTAGTGCCTCACTGAGCCTCTGGGCCTGTCTCTCTCCTGTTTCCAGGTCACACGAGGAGGTGCGGGTCGAGGAGGAGCTTCAGCAGATCAGTGTCGAGCTGGAGCCCAAGTGTGATGTTGAGATCATAGCTCCTGAAGATGACAAAGAGTGAGTGTTTGGGAGCATTGGGCAGCTTTGCAGAGCCCCACCCTGTGTCATTTGCTCTGTGGCAACTTGTGCTGGAGACCGGCTTTGCAGAGCCCCAGCTTTCCTGGAGAGATGGGTGCTCCCCCAGACAGTTCGGTGAAGCTGAACGCTGTTCTTTCTGATCTTTCTGGGTGTGACAGTGGAGCATCCTCAGCTCCTCTGTAATAAATCACACAGTCTTGCTTGCTCCTTTTCCGATCACAGTGACTAGACTGTCGTTTCTTCTCCTCTCCAGAGAGGTGGCTTCAGCCTGTGCCATTGTCACATCCACAGCTACGATAGAGGTGGAGACCGCCAGCCAGGCCTCCGAACCAGCCAGCCAGGCCTCGGATGAAGATGACGTGCCAGTCACAGACATCTACTTTGTAAGATACCCTCTCTGCCTTGCCCGTTGGGGGTGTGATGGGAAAGGTTGGGTGAGGCTGTGGCAGGCTTGATTTTGGGCGGTGGGGCGCAGGGCAGGGTCTGCCCCATGCTGTCCTTGTGCTGAGCACCTCAAGATCTTCACGCTGGATGTTAAGATCTGGGTTTTGAATGCAGGGAAACGGGACTAACTCTTGGAGAACTCAAAACAGCATCTAGAGGGGCTCAAATGGGTGGCGCTGCTGCCGCGGATGTAGCCGTAGGCGTGGTGCTCTCTTTCTGAGCACAAGCACTGAAGGGCTTATCTAGGCCGGCGCGTTCGCTCCCTGGACGAGCCAAGGTGAGTGTAGGTGCAGCTGAGAGGTTCTTCCTTCCTCAGCCAGAGAGCCCGGCTGCTCTCCTGAACACAAACATGCTGCAGGGGCCTGGAGCCAGAAGGGAGGCGGTTGCAGTGGGGCTGACCTGGGGTTCTGGTGAACTCTGGCTTTTCCTTTCCCTGCAGGCAGCTGCCTGAGGTGAGGCAGTGGAGCTCTAGTGCCGAGACAGGGAGTAAGTGAGGTGGTTGCTGGTTGGCAGCAGAGTGCCATGGAGCCTGGTGCTGTGTTCTTCCGTCAGCTCTCACAATGAGCAGTTTCTGCAGAGCCGAGAAGAGGTTTCAGCAACATGTACCTGCCCCGTGGATTCCCAGAGCAGAGCTGAGGCTCTGACCTGCGAGAGCTCTCCCCCGTGCCTGGGCACTGGAACCTTCTCTTTAAGAGAAATCCCAGCTCCTCCCTGCTCCGACTCGGTGGTGTTGGTTATATGGGGATGGAGATGAGCTGAGCCCTTGTGATGAGCTCCTTCAGGCTAACCTAAAAATGGCAACATTTGTCTTTCCCTGTGCTTGCGTGACTCTGCTGCAGAGCTGCTCACTCGTTGCCAAGTCATTCTGAGGCTCGTGGGAGCTGTGGAAGGAATCGGCTCCATTTTCAAAGCTTCTCTGTTTGGGGTTTGATGCATGCTGTTCAAATGCAAACAGCTCCCTCTAACACTGGCTGCTCTTTCTTTGCCCGGGGATGGCAGCTGTGTGCAGATGCTGCCTGCTCTGCTGGCAAGTGTCTTCTAGCAAGGGTCAGCTCCTCTTCCCCAGTGTCCCTGGGCATACAGGCTCCCTCCTACGTGAGGGGCACCTCTCTGCCCAGAGAAAGCCATCTGTGTGCAGTGTGTGCTCGCAGAGAGCGTGACTGGCTGCTCATCAGCATTTCATACGCCATCTGAGTCCTTGAGTTTTGCATTAAATGTGTGTCCTGTGCTGTGGAGTGTTTGTCACGGCTGGGATGAAGGGAAAAGCTGATTTGGGTTCCCACGGGTGCTCTCCTTGGAAAAGCACTTGAGCTGTAGCTCACGTGAGGCTGCACCGGAGTGCGGCGGGGCTCGGACCACAGCCACTCTCTTGCAGGAGCGCTCCAGGGGCGATGGTCGGTGGAGGGATGCTGTGTGCAGAGGATGATCTGTCCAGTCACAGAGGGCTGTGATCTGATCTGTGGAAGTCTGCTCCTGAAAGGAGAGCACTTTATCCTCCTGTTCACTCACAGGGGAATAAAAGTGCAGAGATTGTGGCAGGGGGTGGGGGGCG